TCCGCAGCTGCGATTCAGGTCCGGCCCCGAAGTGTCAGCAGGCTGGAAGCGCAGCAGCCAGTCATTGTTTTCCAGATGACACGCACGCGCCCGGTTCTGGTGCTTTGTTTATTTGCTGGACTGACCCTGGGCCAACTTTCCTCATGGAACAGTTATTTCCTGCGCTAGTAGGCTCGTGTTGCAAATCCTCATCCTTCCACCCCTCTCGCCCTGCGTCTGTCTGTCTGGAGGGGTGGTTTGTATCTCTTTCCTTCCTCAAAACTGGGTTCAAGGGCAGATTTCCCGGCCTGGCTCCCAGCTCGGAGCGATTGACGCAACACCTAAACTGCTGCAGTTTAGGGTTAGGGTGCCAGCGTGGCCTTTGTGGAGAGGGTGTTGGGTTTAGCATGTTCTGCCACTTAGTTTTTGCTGTGCCGCCCGTGCCTGGCAGCCGGGCAGGGGCTGCGAGCCTGGCACACCGCGGCGGGAGCTGCCGGAGGCCGATGCCGCCGGGCACATCGACCTCCTGCCGCCTCCTGCTCCGCTGGCGATCCAGGTACGAGCGCTGCCGAAATCCTGCTGGGGAAGAGAGCGGGAAGGAGCCCCGCTTGCGAGGGAGCGGGGCTGCTCCTGCCCCTACGTAAGAGCGGAAAAGCAGGCGTGGGCTGTGAGAGAGAGCACTTTACTGACACAAGCTCAGTCTGCGCAGCCCCGAGGCTGCGAAGGGGAGGCTGTCCCCCCTCCCAGGGCTGTCCTCCGGCCTCCGCGGGGCCTGCGTCCCGCACAGCCCTTCCCGGAAAAAACTGCGGCGTCACCTGGGCCCGGCAGCCTGCGGGGACCGAATCGCCGGCGCTGCCGTTCATCTCTCGTTCTCCGTCCGGGCAGCGGGGTCAGAGAGGGACCGGCTCAGCCTGTTCTCCGCGCTCTCCTTGACGGGGGAGTCGTTGCCCTGGACTAACCGCTGGATCTCTGCCCAGGCCTCGTCCAGGTACTGGGATGAGCGGATCCATCGGAAGAATAAACCTAGGAGAAAAGGGGCTGCCTGTTATTTCAGCCATGCCGTAGCCCTGTCGAGGGGGAAAAGCAGAGCAGCTTTCCCTCACCCAGCCCAGCTCGGAGCTGGAGATGGGTTTGGAGAGCACTGGACCCAGCTTACCCTGCCAGAGCTGGATGCTCTGGGGCTCGACGGAGGGCCAGATGACCAGGGCGTTGGGCGAGTAGAGAGGGTTCAGGTACTTCTTCTTCTCCCCAGGCTGGTTCAGCCAGGCCCAGAGGGAGTGGGTGCTCTCCTTCACTTTACACAGGCACCTACGGGAGAATCGAGACGCGCTTCAGTCCCTGCCGGGGGTCGTGGGGCCAGGCGTCACTCAAGCCGTGACCGGGAGGGCTTCGCTCTGCCCTACCCGGCAGCGTGAAGGCAGGGTCTGCCCCGAGGGCACGGTGGTGACCGTGGCATTGCGGCGTCCCCACCTCCCGCCCCACTCGCCTCTCCTTCTCGTTGTTGCAGAGGAAGGTGCCGTAAGCGGAGGCGTAGGCGTTGTCGAAGAGGGTGAGGAGAAGGTGCTCGCTGAACTCCAGCGAGAAGGGGAACTGGCGGCTCAGCTGCCACACGCAGTCGAGGAAGAGGAGGAAAAGCGGCGCCTCCTGCTTCAGCCGGGCGTGGGAGTAGGCAGAGCGGGCGCAGCGGAGGTGGAAGGGGTGGCCGGCCTGCGGGACCCCCGGCGGGGGAACAACAGGGGTGAGGGGGACCTGGGGGCACCCAGCTGGGCTCAGGTGCTCAGCCCCTCCGGGACCGCCGGTCTCACCTCGATCCACTCCCGCTCCAGCAGCCCCTGGAAGCCCACCAGCGTGCGGCAGGACGGGTCCAGGATCACCTGGGCCAGCGCCGTCACCAGCCGCGTCGTGTCCGTCCCGTCCGCCCCGCGCCCCACCAGCACGCTGGCCTCCTCCCTGCGGGCAAGCGCGGGCAGTCGGGGCGATGCCGGCTGTGCCGGCGAGCCCAGGATGGCGCCCGAGGTTTGTGCCACTCTGAGAGCGTTGCGAGGGGGAAAACAGGGGCCGCGGGGCGGCAGCCCCCCTTACCTGTCCATGCACTGTGCGGCCAGGCAGGCCGTGCTCAGGGCCGCCTTGACGTGGCTCAGCCAGCGGCAGCTCTCCAGCCGGCTCAGCCACCGGTCCATGTTGATCGAGGTGTCGTTGCAGGCTTCTACCAGCTTAATGAAGCTCTCCTGCAGCGGGCGGCCTCTGGGAGGGGAGGAAAGTGGTGTCAGGGGCTTGGCAAGTCTTTTTTTGGGGGGCCGGAGTCCCTGTGCCATCGGCAGGGCAGTGTCATCACCCGTGTCATGAGAGCGCCAGGCCTCAGCACAGCCCCTCACCTCTCCAGGGGCCGGTGCAGCCTCCTCCACTGCGGGTAGGAGGACTTGGGCTCTGTGCCCCCCCCCGTCATCCGAGCCTGCTTTGCTGCCTGGGCCGACCGCGTGTCGATGATAAAGCCCCGTTCCCCCTCATCCAGCACCATCCCCAGCAGCATCTCGTCCTCGCGACAGCGCTTTCGGTTGGGGCCCGTCAGCGGCTGGCTGCTGCGGAGCATCGCCTGCGGGGTGACGGATGGCGGGCAGTGAGAGCCAGGGGGCACCGGGGGAACCCCACGGGATGGGGGGCTTCGAGCCGCCTTCACCCAAGGGCTGGCAGTGGCGGGGGGGGGGGGGGGGGGGGGGGGGGGGGGGGGGGGGGGGGGGGGGGGGGGGGGGGGGGGGGGGGGGGGGGGGGGGGG